ATCCAAGAAAAGTTTTCAGAAATGAATTAAAATTCATATAAAACAGTCCTTCTATGATTCTGTCACTTTGAGATAAATAGAAGCATGTAATATAGGAATTATATATTTTAAAATAGACATTATGAAAATCAAATGTGAAAAATTGAAGAAGAATTTTCAGAAATGAATAAAAATTGATATAAAATATGATTCTGTCACGTCGATAAATAGAAGCTTGTAACATAAGTCATAAAAATATGAATATTCGTATACTTCTCATGAAAACCTTTTCGAACAAAATTGTTATTTACAATTACAGCTTAAAATCACAAATTTCATTTCGTTGTGAACCATGTACCCAAAACATTGGTGGCTAAATTACACCAGTACTGATTCGTTAACAAGTCTTTAATTTTCACTCAGCCAAATGTAACTAACATACTTAATTTATAAGTACTATAATCAATACACTGAATAACTGAATTCCCTTCTTCAAAATAATTATCGCGATACTACAAAACCAAGGTTCGTTAACTGATGAATTTATTACGTAGAGATGATAATGTCATCAACTTCGCGTTATTCCTTTGTCACGAATTCCCTGAACATGATACATAGAAGCATGGTATTAGTGTCTGCACTATGATATCGGTTTCTCAGTCCTGTTAGGGAGCACCTGATAAATACTGAAGGGTCTCACCGTGTTTCCATAAATCATAGATACCTGGCACGTAAACAGAACCACGACTATTTATTGCTACACCGTGTGTACACGAGATACCTTCGAAGAAACCCTGGCTTAAGGGGTCTATACTCTGCAGCATCTGCGACTACGTGGTACACTCTCAAGGCATCGTTTAAAATTGATGAGTTCATGCGCGATCCCTGAACAATACGTTCGATGAAGGCTCTCGGAGACTTGGATCCTCTGGTCTCAAGCAGTGTACTAATTAAATGGGAAACATAATCTGGTGGGCTGAGTGCAATGTGTCGAAGAAGATCAAGTGACCTCATGGATAATGCATTGTTTTCGTCTCGAGGAAGGCGAAGTAAATTCATGTTACAAGTGGAAACAATTTGTTTACGATGATTAAACGTGTACATGTTTAACCTCCATGTCTGTTAAAAACATTTGTTTAATCAAAATTATGGGTTTGGTGTTTCCAAGTAAATGATTCGTTAGCATGTACATACATGAATAAAGGTATACATATTTATTAAGAACAATTTATTTGGTAACATGAAATTTATTATTTAATTTTGATATACATTTCTCCAATAGACATAGAGGGTACGAATATTGATTGGATTGATTGTATATATTTTCACTAATTTTTTGTAGTAGTTTATGAAAAGGAGTTGAAAAAGAAAAAACTGAATTTCTCTAACTTTATAAACAATATAGAACCATTAAGGGCGTATAGTCGCTAACAGGGTTGGTGGATACTTTAGGGTGTCTCAGAAAGTATTGCGCATCAAACTTTGTAATTCATTGATGGAGTGGTAGATCTTCTGAATTTTAAACACCCCACTTCATTCAAATTTATTGCCGGGACGTTCAGGTTCAGTTCTAAACGAAACTGAAGTTAAACATTTTTCCATTACTGTTTATGGATTTATTGGATTTGACAAATGCATTAGACGAATTATAAATTAATGCAGACCGAGATAGTAATCGAACTAGTGATTTTCTATTGATATTTCGTTGTCCATTCTGTAATACACACACAATACATTTTACAAATCTATTTCAGTCATCAGAATTAATTCCAATTCATTTAATTCATTTAATACTGTTACGTGCCGACAATTTAAATTTTTATATTTCTTGATTTCGTCGGCAGGAATATGTTCGAGATGGTTTACCATCCCGAATTCGTTCTAATCGAACACAAATCTAGCCTTTGACGGTAGTTTGCTAAATTCGTTATGAGAAAGAATACACATTTCCTTCTTGAAACCAACGTCGTCACGCCACTTTCACCCTGTTGGCAACGCCGCGCCGCTGGTAAATCTTGTAAATATA